TCTAAGAGAATATACAAGTTCTGGCAACAAATTATATTTGTTCAACCCACTAATATGACATAAATTAGTGTTAAAACAATTCCTATCAAGTCACTGTCTGCTATAAAGACGATATATAAAAGAGAAACTTATAAACAAAATTCACATGAAAATTTCTTCCAAAAAATAGCAACATGACAGTAGCATAATATAAACAGAATGCCCTATTGTATAGGGTAAGGGAAAGTCATAATTCTTCTTTTAATAAAAAATCACCATTTATACAATAAGGCTGGGTGATTTGAAATGCATTATCTTGAACTCTGTAGGTGATTTGATGGTGAAACTGAAGCCAAGGAGACTCAGCTAAATTGAACTATTATTGATAAGGCACTAAAATTTAAGATAATTATAGAACTTCTTTTATCCAAATATTAATATTCAAGAAAACAAATTAATTTAAAATAATTAAAAACATATGCCCTTCCTAGGCAAATATAATTATGTCAAGTGATAGTGATTTATCAGGGAAAATACACAATAATGGTGGAAACTTAGGAAAACTCAAGAACCTGCTTGATTTAAATGGGTCATCGCTGAAAGCAGTTTGGCTCAGTGGATAGAGCTTCGGCCTGTAGATTGAAGAGTCCCAGGTTCCATTCCAGTCAAGGGAATGTACCTTGGTTGCGGGCACATCCCCAGTAGGGGGTGTGCAAGAGAGGCAGCTGATCAATGTTTCTCTCTCATCAATGTTTCTAACTCTCTATCCCTCTCTCTTCCTCTCTATAAAAAATCAATTATATATATATATATATATATATATATATATATATATATATATATATATATATATATAAATGGATCATGGATTCCAATTCCAAGAATCCTGCTCAATAGCCTCACTTTCAGGTATGTGTTCTACACCACATAAAATAAAAGACAAAACAAAACGAAGCATTTCCCCAATGAAACAGTCTTATTTGAAATAACAAGGAATAGATGTAACCATTCTTCTTATAAGGTGGACCTTTAGAATAATTTTCCAAATGTTGCTCCATGTGATCTTCCTTTATGGGAATGAAGAATACACTGGCCATTCACTAGCAGTATGTTGTTACTGTCATTATGAATCCATTAGACATATTCAGGCAAGCTGAGTTACAGCCTTGTGACCAAATTCTCCTTCTCTAGCTTTAAATGTAGCATTTAATAGAACACAAATTACTTCTTATTTATTTTTTCATATAGTAAATATTCTAAGAAAATGTAGAAGTCTTCTCTTTTGCCCTTTGATAGCAATAGAAATGTTAAATGTAGTGAAGTTTCAGTATTAAGTTACTGCATTTGTTTATATAGTAACCAATAAAGCATAGCTATAACTGATAAAACTAGTAGTAGAGATTATTAAATCTAGAATACTCGATCCTAAGTGTAAGGTTTAGGGAGTGTTGAGGGAGATGTCTAATGCTTAATACGAGTATGTAGTTTCCATTGTTTTTGGAATCTTTATTTCCTTTCTATAAAAATGGTATAAAACACTTGCACACATGTACAGATAATACAAATACACACATGCTTTTGTTTGTGAAAAAGACAGGTAGCATGGTTGCAGTAGACTTTATCTGAGTTTGAAAGTTATGTTTGGAACACTCTATTCTAGTTCTGTACTGCCTTTCCGTGCCCAATGGCTCTTTCTACTAAGTCTGTTTTACCACCCTTGGCACGTAGGACATGCAAGAGCATTTAACCAGTGACTAGCAGCTGGAGTCTTTACATCAGCTTCCTTAACCCTTGAGTAGAATAACCCTGCACTATGTGTCCTATACTGGCTGCCAGAGTTTCTCCAATGAAAAATAAATAAATAAATAAATAAAAAATAAAAAGGTCCAGTCACTCACCATGGCAGCTGGCATTAGTGATTCCCCTGTGTCTTTTCCATAGTCTGCTACTGATAGTCCTTTACCTCCCAAATAAACTACTTTCACTTAAATCCTTGTCTTACCTTCGGTGTCTGCTTCTAGAAGAATCTAGACTAAGACATATGCCAACCATATGACTTTTAATTTAATAACCCTGGGAATATTTGAAATTTTAACTTAATACTTAGGTGCAAATTATAAATCATTTTGCTTATACATTTTTATTGTGACTTAATACGTTGTTCAAGTTTTTTTTATAATGCCCTACACCCATAATAGATGAGCTAAAAATGTAGGTATGAGATGTAGGCATGTGTTTGCCTTAAAATAATGCCAGGCTATTTAAAATACTACTAAATTTACCATTAATTTTGCCAGTTCAGCTGTGTTTTACTAATCCTCCTCTGAAGATATATCTCCCCCCAAGATGTTAAGAGAGAGTGGGAGGGGGAAAGACAGAAAAAGAAAAAAGAAACATTGATGTGAGAGAGATATACCCATTGATTGCCTTCAATGTGCCCCGACTAGACCAGGGAAAGGGATTTCAGCCTGCAACTCAGGCATGTGTCCTTGACTGGAACTGATCCCAGGATCCTTCAGTCCACAGGCTGATGCTCTAGCCACTGAACCGCACTGGCTCGGGCTAAATTGCGTTTTAACCATTGTGTTAGCCTTATAATGTTCTTAAAGGTCATAAAAATAGTAAGCAGTGTTTCTGCTTGTCATGTATTGATATTCTGCCAATAGCAATTGATCAATTTGTTAATCTTGTAACATTTATCCACAAGGAACAATGGGAACAGTCAAAATATTTTCCTTAACTTTTAAAATCCTTAAAAACACACACACACAAACCAAACAGATTACTATCCTTCAACCATCTAGGAAAATCACTCTCTTCCATCACTGCATCACAGCTTCATTTCAAATTCAGCAGAAACCTAAGACTTAAGGCTGCCACCTCACTCACGTTTCCATGGGAATAGACCTCAGATCAGGGAAAAAGAAATGAATGGGGTTAGGAGCTCTCAAATAATCATTCAAAATCACGATGAGAGTTTTAGAGCGTCTTTCTTAGGTGATGATTTTGGAGCCTCTTAACCCCTTTTTGCCAGTCTGTTTCCATGGAAATATGACAAAAATGGCTGTACAAGCTTCCTGCAGAGACCATTAGTGTTCTTGTGAATTTCAGCTTCCGCTGCAGCCACAGCTGGGCAAGATCTTTTCTCTATCAGTTTTACATATTCACCTGCACTGTTTCTACACTTGGGCATTTCCTTTCTAATTTCCACTGTCTTTGAAAATTCTCTTCACAAATTTATAGCAAGATCAGATTGATTAGTGATATCACTGAGAAAGGCTTCAGTTTTACATTTTAATATATGAACCAAGACATGTAGCCCCAGAGTGTCAGAACTTGTAGAGACCTACAGAAGGAACACTATTCAATTACTAGACTCAAAGTCTGATAGATAGGCTTGGTGTTATTATCACAATTAGCTTGTTGATGTTAACAAAAGGAAGAAAGCAGAGGGGAGGCCAGACATTGCAAGCATGACCACCCTGGGCTGCTTCACAAGGAAGCGACAGTTCACACTCCCTAGGGAAATGGGGAAGGGATCTGAGCAAACAACTGGACATGCACAGTGAAGTCAGAGTGACAAAAAGGTGGTGCTTGCCCGTCAGTCTAGCCTGGAAACAAGGGTCATTGGCTAGGAGAGTGGGAGCCACCTCAAAGATGGAAAACCTTGGAAGGGAAAAAATACTCAAATAAAGAGTCTTCTTACTCCTTTTTCCCTCTCACCTGCCCTCTTGCTCTGTGACCCGCACTCACTCTGTGCTCACCTGTTCTCTCTCTATAGCCATGTGGCCTGGATTACAGCTGGAAGCACAAGCTAAGCTAGCCAGAGGCGGACTAGACTGGGCTGCATTTTCATTTGGAACAGATATTCTGGCAGTGGCCTTAACCCTGGCCCTGCTGAAGACAAGACTGAGCTTTTTCAATGGCAAGGCGGGATGTTGGAGGGAAACCCCCTTTATTTGACATCATCAAGCTAATGTCCTCCCATAGGGGCCTCTGGAAATAACCTTCCTCATGGCACCCCAAGAATTCCCCTTCCACGGATAACACTGATAGAGATGTAACAGGGTGATGAACTTATTTAGTCATTGACAAGGCACAACACCAACTGATCAGAGCAGCAGGTTTGTCTTAGCTCATTATCAGCCAAATGACTCCCAACAATAATTTAAACTAAAAGTAGTTCTACATAAGATGGTTAGCACCCTACCCAGATAAAATGTCTAAGGTCACAAACTGAGCTCCTATAAAATTTTCAAAAGAGTTTATAACAGAAACTGGGTAGAAATAACAGAATGCTACATGTATAGCTTCATTTCGCCTAACCTACTGAAATTTGCTGAACAGCTTAATCCACAATTTTTGCCAGGGGAAATCTTAAAGTTCTGGTTGACCTAATAAAGTACTTTTAGTCTTCAGAATGCTCTTATTTTATAGCTACAGTTTTTACCTTTAAGATGTTGTCTTCTAAACTTGAATTGAATAAAAGTAAATTTCAATTGGATAATTACCTGATTTAGCTAGATTCCTAATTTAAATTCCATACAAACTAAGTTACTGCATTAATTACTCTCTATTGATATTTTCAACTAAACAGGCCATAACAACAATAATATCCAGCAGCCTGAGTAATTTTTCAAATCACCATCACTACTCCCAAATGTAGTTTGTCATATTAAACACATGGCCTTGTGGCCAGGGTTTGGCCTGCAGGCCAAGTCTGTCCTTCAGGTTGTTTGTGTAAATCAAGTTTTACTGAGAGACAGTCACATCCACTTCTGTGTTTTCTCTCTCTATGGCTGCATACTTACTAAAAAGGCAGAGTTGAGTAGCTGCTGCAGAGAGACCATTGCACAAATGCCTATTTATTCTCTGTGGTCTTTTAAGTAAAAGTTTGTGAGCCCAATTCAAGCCTTTAATTTTAATAAGATTATAACTATTTTCGAGTCTTTTTTTTTTTTAATTCTAAAAGCAGTATCTTAAGAATAGACCAAAATGAGATTGCCTATGTCTGTACTTACATCCATGAATTCCACATTGGCTTTGGGACCAGTTGTTTCATTAAGAATCTTAATAGCCACAGGAATCTTCACTGTTTCTCCTTCAGGTACCCAGATACCCTTTGAGAAAAAAAATTCACATTAAATCTTTATTGAGACATATACAATATTCAATCTAGGAACAAAATTTCATTTAACACTCAACCTATTAATTCCTTGAACATAATGTGCAAGTTCTATATTCTTTCATATGATCAACAAATATTTATCAAGCACCTGTTATATGTTACATGTTACTCCTCAACTTTGTTTGTCTGCTTTTGTTATATGAAGATGAATTGTGCATGTATTCTGCTTTCAGGGTATTTACACTAGGATAAAATTCCATTTGTGTGCATAAAAAGTCGCTGAATAGTGAAAAATCATTGAAACAAGATATAATAAAATATTTGATGTGATTATATCATCAACTTTCCAAGACTTTTAGAAGGCTGTTCCAATTTTTGAACTTCAAATTGTCTCATTTGTAATTGAGAAAGTTGGACTACGTAACATAAGAGGTTCTTTGCAGCTTTAATATTATCTAATTAATTCTGAAACCAGAAAAAGAAAAAAAATGTTCTCATGTTCCTGAAGTTTGATTTACAAATTAATTTTCTAAGGTGATTATTTAAGAATTAGTTTCCAAAGGCAAATACTAGGGAGTATTAAGCACATATTAATTTGTCTATATTATTAAATAGTGTTGTGTATCAAGGATTTTTATCTCCAAAGTAATATAAAATATTTAGTTTGGCCACTGCCAGTTCTTTCTTCTTATGGAAATGTAATTATAATATCTGAGTAGGATCTGTATATTGGGAAAGTATACAGAGTTTAAATAAAGTACAACATTAAACTAAATAACAGCATTTCTGCATAAACAACTAACTCATTTGAATAAGGACCATGATTTTGGTAAGGCTTAGTTGGATGTGTGTATTACACAATAAATTTTTTTTCATTCTCAAATTATATTGAAAGAATATTCAACTATCAGGTGTCAGAATGCTGGTTGAGGAAAAAATGATCATTCTTTAACAGATGACAAGGATTTTAATAAAAAAAAAAATTGAGATCTTTTGTGTACCACACAATTGATTGGGTTTCTCATAATACTCTGAGGTAGGTGCTTTTAAAAAATATTTTTATTGCTTAAAATATTACAGATGTCCCTTGCTTCCCCATCTACCCGCTCCACTCTGCCCCCAGCCTACACTAATTTCTGTCTTCATGGGTTATGTATCTAAGTTCTTTGGACAGTTTCTTCCAACTCCCTTCTCCCCTTCCCTCTGAGATTCGTCCATGCTCTGGATCTATTTTGTCAGTTTATGTTGCTCATTAGATTCCACATATGAGTGAGATCATGTGATACTTGTCTTTCTCTGACTGGCTTCTTTCGCTTAGCATAATACTCTCCAAGACCCTCCATCTGTCTCAAAGAGTAAGAGATGCTTCTTTTTACTGCTGCATAGTATTCAATGTTGTATATGTATATTTACACAATATACAAGAATATTTATGAAGTATATTGTCTCAAATAACAAACATGAAGTTGTATTTTAAAAATCTTATTTTTTTAAATTTGTTAGCCCTGACATTGAAAGAATCTTCTTAGGTCAGTTTTAACATTACAATGAAAGAAAGAAAGAAAAAAAACACACAAAAATAATAGTCTGTGATTCCTGAATAGAACATCTCTATTTAATGTCTTTCTTAAAGTTAGCTGGTTATAGTCATAAAGAAGAGATTAAACTTTTTTCCACATTGTACTTCTATGCAAAATATGTATTGGTGATACCCAAAGTTATAATAAGGTAAGGGGTGGTCTAAACAAGAATTATTAAAGAGTCAAAATAGTAAAGAAAAAAAATGGATGTTAACCTTTAGAAGGTGAATATAAAGGTTATATTCTTTTTAGAATGAAAAGGGAAATCTGTATGTCAAGTGCAAAAAAACAAAAAACAAAAACAAGTTCCATGTTGTATAACAATTTTCAAAAATTATTAATGCTTAAATGGGGAGGGGGGGTGGAACAAAAGCCCATTACTCATAGGCTACATTTTTCTCACTGATGGTACCCATGGTAGAGAACACACTTACCATTTGTCAATAAGGTAACATCAGAGAGATTAACCTATAAAGCTATTGCATCAATATTAAAATATTTCAAAAGGATACTTTTGAAGTAAAAATATGAATTCAGTGTTAACTAATTTGCAATGCTTTTTTAATAAGTATAATCATTAATTTCTAGGTCCCACCAGACAAAGATACCCATAATATTGGTTCAAATCTTTTATGTTTAAACAGAGAATATATCCAACTAGGAGAAATAATTAACCAAATAATTGCCGAAGTCAATCTGCACTTGTATAGTCAAAAAAAATTCTTTATAGTTTAAACAGTATGCCTCTGTAAGAATGAACATATTATTTAAGACTAGGGTAAATGATAGACACACTACAGTTATCACTCAAACATACTTATGGAACGTTCAATAACCTTTCAAAGCAAGTAATTTTCATAAAAGTATAATATCATGGTTCATAGACAAATATTTGTGCTTAGTGAAAATATTAATAAAGCTTTTTAAAAATACCTAAATGGGTAATATTTTCCCTGTTGAGATCACAAGATCATATATAGTATTGAGTCATATGGTACTTATAATTTAAAATAATATTCAATTTCCAAATAGTATCATTTTTAAAAAATATATAAGGGTGATAGTCTTCTGGAAACAATTAATGATTGAATTGTCTTTAAAATAGAAGTTCATTATTTTCTACATTAATAAAAATAGAGGAACAGGATAAATTGTGTTTCTTTGAACATACAAAAGAATGATATGAAGAAGGCATTAAGTAAGCCTAGAGTCATTTCTATTCAATTACATGTTTAGTTAATAATTTCAATAGCCAATGTTACCCCAATAATTCAATAAAAATTCAAGGAAATAAAAATGATAATAATAGTAATTTTGAATTTAATTGAATAAAACATGTATACTAAAATATTAAGAGACTTAACCTTAGAATAAAATAATTTTATTTTAAAGAAATTCTATTGCTTTTGATACATTCAGTATGGAAAATTAAAATTTATATTTTAATTGTTAAAATGTTCTGTCTAAAAATTTTGTCTTAAATAGAAAAAATTAAACATTTAAAAATGCAAAATTTTTAAGATCCCTATATAACTCTTAGGTTTATAAAAATGTAGGCTTGCATGTAGCTTTAAGAAATATAAAAAACTGACAAAGTAAATTTGGAAATTGCAATAATGACTATTACAAGAACTATATAACACTGACCAAACAGAATTTTTTTCTTGTTAATTACCTTTAAAAATAAATTTCACCATTGTTAATCGTGGGCCTGAACTCTGAATTGGTTTTGTGATTAAGCTAAATAAGTAAATATGCAAATGCCATCATTGAACTCTCCCTTTCAAGAAATGCTTCTCTTATTGAAAACACATGATGTCACCCTCTCCTTCTGCCTGACCTGAATTTCACAAATATACTCACTTCTTTTAGTTTTCATACAATGGTGAGGACATTAAAACTGGACATTTTCCTATTAAATCATACATGTTACCAGAAAGACAAAAAGTGGTTTAGGCTCTAGTCCTCTCCTACTAAGGAGCCAGCACATTTTGTGGGTTCTAAAGAGATTAGCTAAATGGGGAGATGTTTGAATGAAAGAGAGGAAAAGGAGAGGGAGCGATTGAGACACATACCTGCCTGTCTAAGATTTTGTAGAGCTCTGTGCAGGAGACAGGGAAATGGGATGGGAGCTGGGTATTTTGGATGAGGATAAAATTTATCAGAGGGGAGATGATATCAAAAGGAGATCCAAAGGTTGTCGAGAGGAAGAACTAAACCTAGGCTTTGTACCAAAGTTTTCTGTTCTCTCACATTTGTACCCATTCCCAACTTGATTAATAAAAACTAATGAATTCATTTGTGCATCAACATCTCCATACTATAAAGCTTCTCCTCTCTGGACATTAAAAGGGAATTAAGTTGATGAGAGCAATAACCCTGGCTATTCATTAAAACACATATGGGAAAAACTTAGAAGGACTGATGGTACATATGGATTTTTTACTTACCTTATACACGGTTCCGAAAGCACCTGAACCAAGCACTTTGACTCTTTTGAGTTCAGTTTCTTTCAAAATGCGAAGCTGAGCTTGATTGGGCGCTGTGCCACTGGGAGTCAAGGGTTCTACCAACTAAAAAATAAAGAAAAAGACAGGTTACAACTCCCAATCCAACAATCATCACTTCTCTTTCTTTCTCTATCCCTCACTGGTTCCCATTCTCACACCTACAAAAACATGCAAGCACACTTTTCCTTGAAAAACTATATTTTTGTAAGATGGATGCCACCATTCCTTCAGACCCTATCCTTTCTCTTCTCATGCTCTTTGACTGGTGAGCTCAGGTAACAAATGTGTGTCTACCTGGAGTTACACTGAGCTAGGAGGTTCCCACTTTTTTAGGAAAACTTAGAGACTAATGAGAGGCTCTTCATTCTACTTTTCCAAGCCCCTTTCTTTCTGGCATTTCCAGCTAAGACTTGGATGCCTGCATACTCGAGTGAAGTTTTGTTTCTCATTTAAGATGGCTTGGCACATAAAAACATGAAATGGTGCCTTCTTGGCACTTAATAGCCAGGGTAAACATGTCAGGAGAGAGGGAGGGAGGGAGGGAGGGAGGGAGAGAGAGAGAGAGAGAGGGAGAAAGAGAGAACACAATGCCAATGACATTGTTTTTATTTATTTTTAAAAAATATATTTTATTGATTTTTTACAGAGAGGAAGAGAGAGGGATAGAGTTAGAAACATCAATGAGAGAGAATCATCCATCAGCTGCTTCTTGCACACCCCCTACTGGCGATGTGCCTGCAACCAAGGTACATGCCCTTGACTGGAATCAAACCTGGGACCTTTCAGTCTGCAGGCTGATGCTCTATGCACTGAGCCAAACCAGTTTCGACTTGGACTACCAAAGGACATGTATACATGCATATAAGTACAATCAATGGAGGGTATGTATGGGGGGGGCAATGCTAAAATATGTACACAGATAATAATTTAATAAAAAATAAAATACTAAATTTTAATAAAATACTAAATTTCAAAAAAAAAACACAAAAAAAACTTCCATGTTCATATCAATTACTTGAAGCCCTTGCTACATGGCAGGTTCAGGAGATCTGCAGCTGGGGATGGAAATTTGCATTTTACAGAACTCCCAAGTGATTCTTCTGTATGATGATGGTCCCCAATCATATTTTAAGTAGAAGAACCGAGGTATCTTCTAGAATCTAGATAAAAAATCTGGGAATGGATACTAGATCATGAGTAAATATTAGGAGATGCAAAGGACTAAAACTATACCAAGAAGTGAGATTCATGAGGTTTGGTTTCCTGAAGGAAGAACACTAAAACTGTTCTTGAGATGACAAAGAACAGGTTGTCATGAAAGATGACATTGCCGCCATGAACAGTTTAGACACAGCACCAAGGAGAAGGAAGATACCACAGGGAGTGGTACAGGTCTGAAGGGTGGGGACCACCAGAACATGATGTGGACTAGGTGTGGTGGAAGGAGGTAAAATTAGGCTGGTCCTGTTAGCTGTCATAGTGTATGTGCCATTCAGCCAGAGAGGATGATTAGGAAGAGGAAATGGATGCAAATGTGTGCCAATGGCTCGCTTTTGTGAGAAAAAAATATGTAGACAATGAAGAGACCTTGGCACCACAATGTCTATATCCTATCTTCAAATGTTAGGTGTTTAATTATGCTTAAGGAAAAGGCAAGTGAAATGGAAGTTGCTTTTTTAAAAATTAAATAAAGGAGCTAAATTTTAAACACAGACAAATAGCTTGTTCTTTATCAGCATAAGGGGGTAATTAAGGGCTATACCTACTCAAATTATCTTGAAAACCAGCACAATATTTCAAGATGTCTGTTTATAGGGGTTAGTGCATGTGGCCCTCCAGTTGTGGTTATTATTAAGCTTCTCTGAACATCATGGTTCAATGAGCTGGCTGAACAGAGTGTTGGATGTAGGTAAGCTTAGCCATGGCAAGAATTTTGGGAAGAAGATGATAAAAATTATCAACAAAAGTATGTTGTTTTCTAACGGTCTGACAATTACTACACTTTCATTTCATCTTCAAATTTACATTGTTAAAACACGTAACTGCATTTAAGTCACATAAAAAAAATCTTAGAAACAATCCCCAAATTCTTTGTTAAATCTAAAAGAGGGTCTCCTGAAGAGATCCCCTTGACTTGAATTCATCTCTGTTGTGTAGCATTTGGTTGGTCCATTTTGATAATCACACAACGAGTAAGTTTTATGAATTATTTTTAAAAACCCTGTACAAAAGTCAAATAAAATCATCTGTAAGATTAGAGACTAGATTTCCTACTTTAGGCTATATATATGAATATACCATATTATGCTTAAGGAATAATTACAATTGTAATATATACCGTATCCATACTTTGGCATATATAATGTGATAATTTCATATTTTGAAAGCTTCACAATCCTACCCAAGATGTTTAGTGTCTTACAAATTCCTGGGATATCATTTAAAATTGTCTTAAAACATGTTGTTTCTTCACCACCCACCCCCCAGGAATTTGAGTATTATACCTTTAATTAAAGTATAGTTTCATTCTGTGAGCCAAAATGGTGGAGAGAGAATTAAGTTTACAGTCATAGGTTTGTATACCAGGGCTACCATTTAGGCTTAGAAAGCAACTTACACTTCATGCCCCTTCATCCCACATCAGTGAAACAGGTACACCAATAATTACCTTAGAAGATTGCTACAGAAGGCAATTGTTTACAATATTGAGTAAAAACTTTGGAACATTGCCTGTCATATGTAGGCACTGAAACTGTCACTCTTTCAGGGATAGGATCAGCTGTCATTAATACATTACAGCATCTATCAAAGCATCAAGCTTACAGTGCATCTCAGTAAGTATGTGTTGAAAAAAATATACATTCCCTACTTTTATTTTGTAACAGAAGAAAGACAAAATCTGAAGCAAAAGTTTTGGAAAAATATGTCACTTGAAATACATTCCAATATACCATGCTTTATCAAACTGTTCACTATTATGTGAGTCAAATTTTCAACTTGGATATTAAGGATTTAAGTCAATTCTCTTAAAAATTCCTCTTCTATTGCCCAACCAGTATGACTCAGTGGTTGAACATTGACCTATGAACCAGGAGGTCATGGTTCAATTCCCAATCAGGGCACACGTCCAGGTTGCAGGCTTGATCCCTAATGTGGGGTATGTAGGAGCAGCCGATCAATGATTCTCTTTCATCATTGATGTTTCTCTCTCTCTCTCTCCCTCTCTAAAGTAATAAAAATATATTTTTTAAAAATCCCCCTTATTTTAGATAATAAAAATCATAGGTATTTACTTTTATTGAGAGAAAGATAGGAATGAATTCGATAATTATCTAACTTAGTACTACATAACTTTCTACGTAAGTAGAATTTATAGATAACTTTCTATGTAATAGAATTTACTTTTGGAACCAATCAGTATGAGTTTATTTAATAATAAAATGCCAATTTGAAGGACATTCTTAGAAAGCACCATATTAACAAAACAAAACAATTCTTCCTAACAATGAGTTTTTCTGCACCTGGTTAAAAGATATAATTTCTCTCTTCTATCTTCAGTCACCTAAATGTCTACTGCTGTCCCAAGCCTTCAATTCCTTTCCAAATCTTATTTATTCGCTTTCCAGAATTCTCTCACTGACTGCCCCAAGCTAAACACGAGGGAAATTCTATCTGCCTCCGGCATCCAACCTAAGCTGAAAATACACACAGCACACACATTGTGTCAAACTTATTCACATGTGTGAGCGTGAAACCAAGATGCTCGGTAAACATCCAGCTCAACTAGAAATCACTACTATGCTGTCCTGTGTACACAACTAACTACCTTTTTAAAGTTTACACATGTATTTTGATGGGACTGCCCATTCTAATTTTAGATAACTCTAATCCTTAGAAAGCATTTTAATATATGTAACTATAAAGTAGCTGCTTCTATCTAATTATGATTTCTTGAGAAAAAAGCTAAAACTTAATTCATTATCAGTGTGCAAAATGTATGAATGAATGTTTCAATTTCTGTTATTGTTAAGAGAAAAATCTAGACTGGCACACTGACAATTAGTAAAAAAACAAAAACACAAATCCCAAGGAAGGCTGTGTCTCAGAACAGATTAGCTCTGAATAGCTCAGCCTGGCAGGAGAGTGTGTATCAGGAGGCAGCGACAGTATGCCAGTCAGGCTGAATCTGGTAACACACATTCCTCTGTAATTGTTTTTCCCCTATAACCAGGACAGTGAAAGCTATCAGCTTCCATGCTAAGGAACTCAGTGTAGCAATAGAAAAGAAATTACAATACTATATGGTAATTTACATATTCACAATGACTGACAGACACAATATTAAATGCATCTCATAAATTGGGCGGTAAGGTCTGTGTGATTACAACACTAAGCTTTCTCCTGGAAGCTCAGCCTTTCTCTGCTGGAATAAGGACCCCAATTAAAGCATACACTGCTTGCCTACCTGGCTTTATTTTGAACCAGAAAAATTCTGTCCCTAACATTTTTCTAGATCTGCTACTAAGATATCCTCTATCCAGATCATTTTAGACATACTAGAACTTGGACCCTGCCCCCCCAGTTTTCTTGACCTTTGCTTTTTATTCTCTTTAAGCCATAAACCTGCCTTGACTACTTTAACTATACACTCCAATATTTTTCATCAATTTTATATAGCATGCTATAAAATATAAACCCTCTGAACAAAATTTTCGCTTGGATTAAAAACTGAGTGTTTTATAAATCCTCTAACCTAATGAGAATCCCTAAACATGCGAGGAGAAGAAAGAATCAGGTCACCTCTGTTTCCAGGAATCTCCTCAAGGCTCTTTTCTTCTTGATGCTCTTCCTTCTCGCGTAAACCGCAAACGTGAGAGCCACAATGACCAGGATGAAAAGGCCTCCGATGACTCCGGCTGCGATTAGAGGAGTTCTGCCAACCAGAATGGAGAAGAAGAAGAAAAAAAGTAGGAAGTGAGAAAAGACAGAGGAAGATCAAAGAGCAGTTGTACACAGCCACACATCACAAATCTAGTCAGTTAGAAGATGGAATAAAAATAAAAATGCATTAGAGCTGTGACAAAACTTTTATGATAAAACAGGTAGTTTTTTTTTTTGAATAACAATTCATGCACATACAACTCATTTTGGGATATGAGCAGCCACAACATGCAATTTCATTTAAAAATATATATAAAATGTGGTAACAATGAAGAACTCAGGCCAAAATGTTAATATAGGAGCATTCTGAATTATTTTAATGTAACTTTACCTATAAGTGAATGAAAAATACATCTTAATTAGATTGTGGTATTATGTAATATTATTTTCAACATTTTCTCTAAAATAGGCTTTCTCAGCAGTGGCACATTTGGCATTGTGGGCTTGATATTCTATTTGTTGTGGGGGGCTGGCTTGTGCTTTTTGGGATGGTTAGAAGCAGCCTTAGCCTCCACCCACCAGATGGCAGTAGCACCTCTGACTTCCGGTCATGATGCTACCTCCAGACATTGTCAAATGTCTACACAAATCACGCCTTGTTGAACCCCACTCCTCTGAAATATGAGGGTACCAATAAAAGAGAGGCATTGGCAGAAGTGCTATTTCAAACTCTAGCAAAGGCAACTCTGTTGACAGGAGAAAGATAAAAAGTGAATCAGACAGAGTTATGATGACAGGAGTATATATTATTATCAAAAGTATGCCTAAGCATCGTTTGGCCATAAAACAGGTTTACAAATTAGGCATTACATACAAAGGTGTTATTAGAACCAAAAAGGGATTAGAAAGAGACTGAGAAGAGATTTTTACTCTTAACATTGTTAGCTAATATATAGTTTTGTTTTGAAATATGTTTTATTGATTTCAGAGAGGGAGAGAGATAGAGATAGAAATATCAATGATAAAAGAAATTTATTGCCAAAACCAGTTTGGCTCAGTGGATAGAATGTCGGCCTGCAGACTGAAAGGTCCCGGGTTTGATTCCAGTCAAGGGCATGTACCTTGGTTGCAGGCACATTCCCAGCAGGGGGTGTGCAGGAGGCAGCTGATTGATGTTTCTAATTCTCTATCCCTCTCCCTTCCTCTGCCTGTAAACTGGGCATGTGCCCTGACTGGGAATTGAACCATGACCTCCTGATTCACAGGTCTATGTTCAAAACTGAGCCACACTGGTCAGCAAGATGTAGTTTTAAAGTGGATTTATATTGTTTTTTAAGATAAAATTAAAACATAAATTTAAAATATTTCTTTAAAAGTAATATTTGTGGCTTTAATTTCTTATTCTAGACACAGTAGTATCTATTAGTATATATGCACTTCAGAAAATATTTTAAATTTTCAACTCAAGGTAAAAATTTTAGTTCAAGTGCCTACCATATCCCTGAAAAACCACTGTTCTAAAAAAAGAGTGTATTTTTGTTTTCTTGGCCCAATTTTTAATTGAAAAGGATTTAAGTATGGTTTAGAATAGTGCCCAACATTTTGTTACTAACTCTAAACTTGCACTAAACTCTAAACTCATCCTGTCTATTTTGCAAATAATAAGTGATATTTATTTATAAAAATATATATCAATGTCACTGTAAATGATAACAAATTATCTATTTGGCATTTATTTATTTTGTGTTTGTGTGCTAAGAAGGATCACTAACTACAGACCAGAAATTGGAAATTGGAAATATTGGGTTACAAAACAGTGGGATTAAAAGTAGGGAAAATTGAGACTCTTTGTGTGTGTGTGTGTGTGTGTGTGTGTGTATGCATAGATGTATGTAAAAAGATCTGGAATAACTATATAATAAAGATGTAATATGCAAATTGTGGTTATGCTGTGAAACGTAAAGAACAGGTTATGGATCAACAGGAGGGTGAGGTAGAGAGCTACAAGTGGGCAGTGGAGAGCTACAGAAGGCAGGGCAGCAAGCTATGAGAGGGGTACTGGGTGGGAGGGGGAAGGGAATTACAGGAGGGCAGGGCAGTGGGTGGAGAGCTACAGGGGGGCAGCAGTGAGCTACTTGTGAGCTACTGGCACACGGATTCATGCACAGGGCTACTAGTATACAATAAGACACTAATCAGTACTTGTCACTGAATAGTATGATTATGGTGCTCTTATATTTGTATATTTACTGGTGGGAATTTTCTAACTTTCTACAATGTATTTATTTCTTATTTGAAATAAAAGTTTATTAAATTAAAAAAAAAACCCACAAAAAATAAATCATTGTCTAAAACAAGCATGTCAAACTCATGCCCCACGCCCCACATACCTTGTTTATTTGGCCCGTGTTAGCCTTTGAGTTTGACAAGCTTGGTCTAAAAGTTTTTTGTTTTGTTTTTTATAATACTGACTTTTTTCCCTTTCTTTTCTTGAATGTTTACTTGGTTATTTTATTTTTAAAATATATTTTTATTGATTTCAGAGAGGAAGGGAGGATAGAGGAACATCAATAATGAGAGAGAATCATTGATTGGCTGTCTCCCACATGCCCCCTACTGGGGACTGAGCCAGCAACCTGGACATTCCCTTAGGACTAATGCTGACTATTGCCAAGTAGTCTATATTTCTGAAAGTGTTTCTTCTTATATATATGAGCAATAAATGTTCATCCAACTAATTGTTAGTCCAATTTAGAGAATTAAAGAGACCTCAAGCTAATAACAAGTCTTTATATAGTGTGTGTGAATGAATGGTTCATAAATTAAGGTCAGATGAGATGATTCTCTGTAAATATATATATATATATATATATATATATATATATATATATATATATGACATAATTAGATAACATTGCTATCATCCTATACTTTAGCTTCCTTCTGGCACATTCATAGTGGCCATCAGACAAAAGCATGATTCTAGCATAGGCCAGGCCAGAGGTTAAATGTATTTTCAGAAATGTACTCTGTGTTTCTTAATTCGCTCTTGCTATCAGAAATCATATAGTTGACCAAAAATATGTTGTTTCTTTATTTAAATAAAATTCTTACAATCACTTGTCAACTGAGATAGAAAACACAACTCTGAAAATAACATTTTCACTATTGTATTAACTATGTAAGCAGTTTTAAAATAGCAAGTTTATATAAGAGAAATATAAGATTCAACTGACATCAAAGTCAAGGTACTGATGGGTTTTATAAAACATGTAGTGTCATAACAATTCACTTTATTTTAAATGGGAAGTGATCTAATAGAAATGAAAATGTCAAAGACTTTCTATCCACACATAGAGAACAGTCACTTCCATAGAGGCAAATCTGAGACTTATTTTGTCCTATACACTACCCTTAAACTCAAATAATTTAAATAGATTAAACATAAACTTTCCATTCTAATAATACTTATATATTATCATATTTCTTTTTATAAGCCTTGTCTATTTTTACAATATGTAATGTAGATCATATAAACTCCACACTTAATAAGAAATAGGCTCTCACATAGTTAATATACCTAGATAAGTTCAAATATAAAAAAATAATGCTAACAGTTTACATCTTAGAATCTCAAGCCCATTAATTATGTTTAGCTATGTCATGTTGTCTCTCTTTCTACATATGATTCAATATAATTTTTTTTAAAGTAACTAAATACGATTCATCAGATTTTTCTTCAATATCTACATTTGATAGTAGAGAACAAAAATGCACATGTGTTTATTTAGGGGTTCTAAGAAACTCTTTGATATTACATTTACTTACATCCTACTACTGTGATTCTCATGAGATTTTTGTTTCATCTGCATTTCTATGTTCATGGTGGTTTAAATTTAATAAACACTTTATGCCTTTATTGGAGTGGGTAAGTGACATTGTTCTTTACTTAGATTCATTGCTTTCTCAGTTAAGAGGGTGCTTGAGGGGAGGGGGACTTTAAAAATTGTATCTCCTTTAAGGAAGGCACCATGACGCAGTGTCTCTTCCCCTCCTGACAGTGCCTCTGCATGGCCACTCTGATCAACCTTCCCCAAAGTAGCTCGGATGTGAAACAGGAGACCTTGAAGCACTAGGAAACACTGAAATTCCACAGAAGACATATTAAGGGTTACTGCTTAGGGCAAAGAGAGCCACATTAACACGGTTTTTTTCTTCTTCCTGCAAATTGTGCTTATTCTGACCCAGAATTCTACCTGCTCTATAAATATGACACATTTTTCCTTTTGAGGAAATGAATGTGATCTGGGTCAGAATCTGATGCAGGCCACTGTTGACAGTTACAGTATTTGTATGTCTCAATGCTTTGATTACAATTTGAGATTCTTCTGTTTTGTCTTAAATACAACCAGGATATACATGAAGTACTGAAAAAAAAAAATAACCTTCAGCATATTCTCCCTCTTCCTAAGCAGATTTTAATGTTTCGTGATTTTTCTTCATGTGTTAAAATAATTTTTTTCAATAATATTTCAATATGTAAATGTTACATATTATTTAATACAGAGTTTCAAAGAATCTCAGTGGAAATATCAGCAGTATAATATCATCTGTATTCTTTATTTCTAGGGTTAATGATGGAAAAATGTCTAACAGTTTCACAGTAATTCCTTCCTTCTTTTTATAGGCAATGTTTACACATATCCTTGAGTTTTTGTTTGTTTACAAGTCAGAGAAAAGTATACCACTTGTACATTTGATTTTTGAAGCAATCATTCTATGATTAGAGACACCATCCTAAGCCTATCTATAACTCACCTATGAATTTTACACCTCTGAGTTTTTTTCCAGATTAACTGAGGTATAATTGACAAATAACTGAATTTGTATAAATAAAACAGTGAATGGGAATTTGACCTGGTGAAATTCAACTCTTTTAACCAACAACATAAACGTAATTTTATATGGTAAAAACATAAAATAAAAGGTCTTTGTATGAGCTCAGATCAATTTTGGTAGAGCATAGTTCAAAAACAATGTAGTTCAAAATAT